AATGAAGTGATTTATCCTTGGGAAGGAAATTGAAGAAGAGGTCTGAAGAATGCATTAACCCATCTCATTATTAACAAAGAGTGCGCATTAATGTGATGGTCCCCTCTGGGCCCTCTCGAAAGCTCCTGGGATCAGGACTGCCTCTGAACAGGATTTACCCCTCACCAAGGAAAACGGCAATTTAAACAATTTCCTGGGAGCTGCACCTTACATGTTGGCTTTTAAGTATTTTGGATGCAGTCAAAAGGGAGTATTTCTTCTTCTTTGTTATACCCAGTGGATTTCTGCATAGCAGAAACACGGAACACAGAACCTTCCACTACTTGCTGAAATCTCCTGAATTTTCCCTTTGCTGAATTGTCTTTTTCCTTGGACACTTCGGACTCCTTTCCTCTTTCTTCTTCTATCCAGTCTTGGGAAAACTGTAGCTCTAGGATTTTGTCTCTTTAAGCTGGAGTCCAGGGATATAGGATGCTGATTGTTCCAAAGGAACAATTTGTTGATTTCAAAATACGGAAGAAAAGTCCCCGTGATGAGGTTGGCCCTTGAATGTTGGTGCAATCAACACTTGCAGCTTTGTTCTGCCTCAGAGCAGGAGACTTATCCTCAGTTTGCCCTGCCAGTAGTAGAGACTCACCACCCGGACTCACCTTAAGCAACACTGAGAAGAGCTGAAGAATTGGCAGGGTATTTTGTAACCGTAAATGTGCTTATCCATGCTGAAGAATATTAGGGATCACAGTCTACTTACTTTAGAGTTCTTGTTTGAAGTGCTTCTAATTCCAAGAACTAGGAGGGATCATGGCCAATTGCCCAAATGAGTGAATGAGAAATGAAGGGTTGTACCAGATGAACTTGGAGGTCCCTTCTAATAGGCTAAGTGACAAAAAAAATCAAACCACTCCAGCATCTCAAAAGATCCCATGTGCTGAACAGTTTTAGCAAACAGGAGGCAAGGGGTTTAAAACTTAGATAAGTTTTCTGTTGGGAAATGGAAATGCTGTTCTTTTAAGAGCATTTGCAAAGTCTTCTGTTTCATTACAAAAGAAAACATATCCCCAAATAAAATGAAAGCCTCAACATCCTGGCCTGTTCTCCAGGTTTATTTTCCCTCCTCAATTTACTCTTCAATGCCCTGTGGAATCTGAGGCATGCTGTGGAATGCTGCAAAGTAGCCTCCCATCAAGGGAACTGCTATTAGACTCTTTCTTGAACCTGAACATACCCAGGCTCAAACAGCACCTCAGAGGAGCGGAGCAAGAGCTTAGGACAGAAGGGAGGTAAGTGCTTCTCACCAGGGACATGGGTAAGATTCTTGCTGCCAGTTTCCACACACCCCCTCCCCAGATAGAAGCCTTTCAGTGGTTCCTCACTGCCTACCAAGTAAAGGCAAATCTCCCTGTTTAAGTTCACAGCTTCACTCCTGGTGGTCCAATCTACATTTCCAGACAATTCCTCTGCCATAATTACCTCCCTTCAATCTCAATATGACTCAAGGGCAAGAGTTAGCCAAAATATCACTTCCCAATGTTTGTCCTATAAGCCCAGCACTAGGGCACATGACGTAGGGAGCAGAGGGGCTGGTTTCCGACTCGCACTGGGTCTCCAGGCTTAGTGCCCTTGTGCAGGACTCAATCCCAACAACTATATACAGCAGTCCTGGCTGAAACCTCATCCCCAATTACTTCCAGAAAAACTATGTTCCAAAGTAACTGTAGGCAGTGAAATATAATTCTAAATATAACTACACTATAGTACATCACCCGTCTAGTTTGTTGTACTATGGTAGCTTGCATGTTGATGTGATACTGGCAACTATGCCACTGGTATATCAAATACCAGCAGGGTTGTCCATGGTGGACAGGTTTCAATGAAGCTACCAGACTAAGACAGACTAGGAAGAAACGCCTGGCGATCTACTTCCAAAAATTAGCTGATGAAAACCTTACGGATCACAACAGAACACTGTCTGACTCTCTTGCCTTGGATATGTCATCAGGTGGAATCAATTGCTGGAGGAGGCCATCATGTTTGGTGGACTGGATGGCCAGCGAGGGTGAGGGAGACCCTTGGTGAGATGGACTGTCACAATAGCTGCAACGATGGACTTGAACATGCTGGTGATTGTGAGGATGACGCAGGATCAGGCAACATTTCGTTCTGTTGTACATAAGCTCACCATGAGTCAGAATCCACTCAATGGCTGCTATTGCTCTCTATCTAGATATCAGATATACACTCACCCTTCCTTATAAAACATGAAGGTAATTAAATGCTGAGTAGGCCACAGTATTGTTTGTAAAAATGAATTTATTAAAATGCTCATAATTATAAAAGAATATTAAAATGTACAGAAATTAACTTGAACAAACATTAATTATGAACTTTACATCTTATACCACAGTGTACGAAAAGCATCATGAATATTTCAGTTCTAGCTTAGTTAAGCTGCTCATGCATTTTAACTTTTCAAACATCTTAAAATATAATATGAACACGAGAAAATGGTACAAGAAGCGTTTCAACAATAGAGCACATTCTGCCCGCTACTGTGAATTAATGTTTTCTGAAATTCAAGATATACATGCAATAAAAAAAGAATCTGGTGACAGTGTACAAGATGGTTTTGTTTAGTTTTTAAGCAAAAATGATAGCTTTCCCTCTCTAATGACAGATCTAAAATATCTGAGGGATGTTTAAAGAAAAACCCCTTGAGTGTTTGGGTCTAATGCTTCATTCAATCTATTAAAATTCACAAGTATTACAAAAGGATGTAAAACTAAACTTTCTCTAGTGGTTAACACTGGGCAGGCCTAGGGACATATTCTCCCTTCCTGGGTCCACAACTACACCCAACAATTTCCCCAGGGTTTCTGCCCACTACTGCCTGCAAACGGAATCCACATTTATTTTCCTTCGTCACTGACAAGCCAGCACCAGACTTACATTAACACTGTCCATGTGATGTGTGACCCTGGTCTCCACTACAGCTTAGCTGTTTTTGGCACACCAGCAGTGTCAGATATCACATTTGCTACCTTCACCAATGTAGAGCTTTTTCTCTCCTGTCCACAGCAGCACATTTTAAACTATGAGGATGATTTTCTCAGCTGGGGCCATGAAAACATGAGTCCACATTTCTTCTTAAAGTCTATCTTACATACAAGGAGATAAGGTAAAAAGACTTCCTTTTCTATGCTGATATATAACAGTGCGTAATTGTCCGATCAAACACTAGAGGACAGTCATAAACATCAGAGAAGCGAAGAGGTAATACAAGAGGAAGTGACACCCACTTCCAGGAGCAGAATCACAGGTAAGGGGAAAGGAATAGTGGCACTCCCAGTCCAGTTGTGCAGGATGAGAAACAGCTTCCTCTAGTGGGAAGAACTTCGTCTCTCCCTCCCAGCGCAGTTAGACTTCAGGTGGCCTGTCTTGAGCCCTCTCTGACCACATCATGATCAAGAAGGTTAGTGAAATGCTGTCCCTGATCCACTGGGGCATTCCAAAGTTTAGAACACTGCTTTGATGAGTCCAACATAAATACTGTTTGTAAAAGTGGATACTTTAATGGCAGGCATTTAAAACTGTGATCTGGAGTTACTCTATTGTAACAACCTTCTAGAATCTGATCACGGATGAAATATCTTTCATTGTCCTTTGTGGTTTGGATTCCAAGTAGCTTGATTCCTGCAGCACCTGAGCATTTAACAGCACCACAGTGGGTGAGACCCATCTGTGAGAACATGGTTCAAGTCACTTCCTTCTCCTACATCTAGCACTGACCTGTCACCACTCAAGGAGAGAAAGAGGGGCAGGCCTCGTGTGCCTTCTCCAAAGCCTACCAGAGACCCTGGCACGTAAAAGGCAGTAAAGAGCAGCAAACGCTGCTAAACTGAACAAAACAGAGCAAAATATGCATGATCGTGCATGGGTTCAATAAAAAGTAATTTCCAGATGACGTTAGGGTATATGACCAAACCACTCTCCTTTTTTCACCCTTAACTGTCTAACTCTGAAGGAGGCTGGAAGCTCAAATCAAAGCCAGAGTCTCTTTTCTGGATTAGGAATAATCCGGGTATACCTGTCTCTACCTTCCCCCACCCCCAACACTCCTCCAGTACAAACATACAATTACACACTTGATACTGAGCTGGGAATAAGAGATTGAAGGGTGCAAGGAAGCCACATTCATTACGGCAGATGCTTTGGTATGTTGATCACTTTGGCATACAGAGATAAAGCCAAGTCATGCAGAATCCCTGAAGAAAGGCACTCCGCACACAGGGAACACAGTTAGTGCGGGTCACAATTAGGGCACTTGTGGTTCTTTCAACCATGCACAGCATCCTCATGTCATGTTGGCTGTGCAGTGAGCCATTCACGAGGATGCTTGGTGATCTGTAATATTGCATATCCTGTACCTACTGATGGGAAGTTGATGGGCTTATCTTTCCCAGACTGTTCTGTTGATAAAAATGTAATTTTAATCACTTGATTTCATTTTTTTCAAGAAACGACACATCTTTAGAAGAGGTAAATTAATTATCCTAGTCAGTATGAGTTACAATTCTATTTGAATCTTTAACTTTCCCCACTTTTGTCATCTTATTCCTTTGAGGTTTGCAAAGCAGTCAACGTTGATTAGGCACAGAACATTCTAGGAGTGCTCTTGGAAGATACAAGATGTCACTGTAGATTAATACAAATATGCTTCAAGACCTTGCTATCTTCATTCCAATCCATTAACAGTATTTCTTTGAGATGGAAAGACAGGCCAAAATAAAGACTGAAACTATTTCCTCTTGTTAACTGAGGTTTCCCTTTCTGGAGGGGTGTGATAAATACACCTCAATATTTTGAGTTCTTGAGTCTATCTGCCACTTAATACGGCATTCAAACTGACTTCTGACTTAGCTATTTTTAGTCACACAAAAGCTATTAAGGCAGTGGCATGTCTAATCTTTAATGACGGTATTTAAGGGGAAGAGAACTCTGGAACAGATCCGGCAAAGTGAAGAAATGAAAACTGCCTAAAAATAAAGATGATCATATGCTTGAGAGCAGAAAGGAATGAAGAGTAATCAAATTGAGAGAGAGAGGAAAAAAAAAAAAAGAATTCATTCTGCTTTAGAAGGGATGGTTTTAAGCACACTAAGAGACTTTTCTGTGTTACTAAAATTCCAATTTATATAAAAAAAAGTATCATTTTAGGTTTTCCAGGTGATTAGTTTTATGCCGCCCTTGATCTAAGTGTACATTTTCCAGTTCCTGCACTGCTAACTGAAACTGAAAAATAATCTACATGGAAATGGCAATAGTTAAGACTCGTATTTGCCAAAGTGATTTAACTTAAACATTCTCATTAGTGATTCACAATATATTTTGACGGCTAAATTCTTTAAAGTGCTTCTCAGAACATAAAGCTCTTATTCTGATTTTGGTCGTAAATTGTTATCTACTACTCCCATCATCTTCTCAGCTATAACCCCCATGTTCTTTGTCACATCTTTGAGGTGATTCTCACGAAGGAGCTTTTGGGTTAGGTATTTTTCTCTCTTGATCTTGCTCTTCGTGCTCTTCGATACATCTGGAATTGCATATGAAATGAAAAATTTCACAGAGTAGATGACATGCTGAGGGAGAGAAGGAAAAAAACGTCAACCACAAGGAAATGGAGGGAAACAGAGTTCCTTTCATTCATTTTTTGCTAGTCATTAGAGCAGTATACTGCAACAAGGCTGTGGATATTCTATTCATATAGCCAGTCTCTTATGGCACTGTGGGTAATGAATGGTGTGGCTCTGCCTAACAGCTGCGTTTTGTTACTTTATAAACTTAAAAGAATACTATTTGATATGTAAGGAGCCCTGGTGGTGCAATGGTTAAACTCTTGGCTGCTAACCATAAGGTGGGCGGTTCAAACCTACCAGCTGTTCTGCAGGAGAAAAGACCTGGTGATCTGCTCCCGGAAAGATTATAGCCTATGGAAACCCTATCGGGCAGTTCTACTCTGCCCTGTAGGGTTGCTATGAGTCAGAATTGACTTGACAGCACACAACAACATTTGATGTATAGGAAAGAATGTATCTAGTATATGTATCAGCTATAAGGGATAAAAAATAAAATACCAACAACCCCAATATTAAACCTAAGCACTAGAACACTGGTAGTGCTCTGGGATCTTTTGTGCGTTCCTCTCCTAGGAGCCCCAAGGATCAGTAAGGACAAGAGAAGGAAGGAAGCAGCAAAGAAATTGAGAAGAAATGGCCACCGAGGTAGCAGGAAAGCCAAAAACAATGTGTGTCCTGGGAGCTGAGTGAGGGAAGAGTTTCAGGGAGGATAGAGGGGTTGGCTGCTTCAAATGCTACCGCTAAGTCAGGTAATATGAGGGTGGAGAATTTGGTCGCAGGATTTACCAACACAATGGCCACTGGTAACTTTGGCAAGAGCAGTTTCTGTTAAGTGGAGGGAGTGAAAGTCTGACTGGAACGGGGATAAGAAAGAAAGAGGGAAGAAAGGAACTGTGGACAGTAAGCACTGACAACTCTTTCAAGGGTGTTTGCTGAACAGAGCAGTGGGGCAGAACTGATGGGGTAAGTAGGATAAAGGGAATTATATTTTGAGATGAGAGAGATATTACCATGCTAAGTGATAGAAATTATATAGTAAAGAGAGGCAAGAGAGTTTTTTTTGTTGGTGTTGTTTTTCTTTTCATCTACTTCTGACTTAAGTAATATTTACAGATCCATAGATTTTCAGTGTTCACTCGTCCTCTCATTTCTGGGATAAAGTCAATTTGGTCATGATGTTATCTTTTTACAATATATTGCTAGATTCTGTTTGCAGCTTTTAAAAAGATCTTTGCATCTATGTAAATAAGTGAGACTGGCATATAGTTTTCCTTTCTCTTTCTATTCTTGTCAGGTTTTAGCATCTAGGCTGCTCTTAGCCTCACAAAATGAGCTGGAGAGTATTTCCTCTCTTCTGATCTCTGGAAGAGTTTTGTATAAGATTAAAACGATCTGCTCTAGAAAGTTTGGTATAACTGTCCTATAAGACCATACGGCCTGGCATTTTCATTTGGGAAGATTTATTCAGTTACTGAAAATCATGCTTTAAGTCTAGGTTTAGAGTTACGTTCTTAAGCCTTTTGAAGATCTTAGACTACTCTCTTCTGGCTTCTGCTGTTGTTTTTGAAAAGTCTACTCTCAGTATAATTTTAATTTCTTTGCTGGACATCTGTCGTTTTTCTCTGGCGACTTTTAAGATCTTATCTTTGGTGTGCTGCATTTTCATTGTAGTATGTTTAAGTGTGGATTTCTTCTTTATTCTCCTTGATAGATGCTGTGCTTTCTGCTCTGTGGACTGATGTCTTTCGTCTGTTCTAAAAACTTCTCAGCCATTAGCTCTTCAAAATTGCCGCTCCTCTATTTTCTATTTCTTCTAAGATTTTTTTTTAAAGTTACTCCTTCTCATTCTGTCTTCTATATTATTTAACCCCTTTTTCATATTTTCTGTCTTCTCTCCTTGTGTTGTATTAGGAGTAATTTATTTAGATCTATCTTCCAATTCACTACTTGTCTCTTCAGATTTACCTAAATGTCTGTTTAACTCACATGTTAATTTTTTTCATTTCAACAGTTATATATTTTTATTCCTAAAAGCTCCATTTAGTTCTTTTACAAAACTGCCTTGTAATTTTTAAAAATATTTTGTTTGCTCATTTTTTATTCCATCACTTACTTATTTAAGCATTTTTATATATTGCTAATTTATAGCTCATATGTGATAATTCAAATTCTTGACGTTATTGAAGGTCTAAATCAGTTGTTACTTCTGCTGAATTTGACTCATGCTTTTTTTATTTCCCCTTGTCATTGTTGACCTTTGGTTGTGAGCTCATATTTGATTATCTCAATCTGAGAAAAACCTGGAGTCTAAATTGAGGACACCCCCCCACCCCCGAAAAGATATGTTCTCTTCTAGGTACCAGGGGCTCTACTGACCTGAGCCAAATTTGGTCCCTTTTTACGTCCTTGGTTTAACCCAGCAGTCTCAAAGCTCAGCTCTTCTACCTAGCATCTGACACAAGGCTTGGTCTCCTTGAGCTTATGGATGGAGGCACTGATAACAGCATTTGTTCTCAGAGCACTCCTGCACTTCAACCCTGTTGCTCACTGTTCGATTTTGGTCTGTCACCTTCCCTCCACCTCCAACCCCCTCAATTTGTAGATTCTCTTCTTTCCTGGTGAGAAGCAATCTCAAAGGAACTATGCTGGTTTTAGATGTTTTGTAGTGGGAGGGCCCCTTACAGTATCTGTTGCTGCTGTTGTTGGGTGCCGCGGAGTCAATTCTGACTGATGGTGACCCCATGTGACAGAGTAGAACTGCCCCATAGTGTTTTCTTGGCTGTAATCTTTATGGAAGCAGACAGCCAGGCCTTTCTCCTGCAGAGCCACTGGGTGGGTTCAAATTGCCAACCTTTCAGTTAGCAGCGGAGCACTTAACTGTTGTGCCCATGCCTCCTTTCACGGTATCAAGCTCACAATAATGTCAAAAGCAGAAGTCTAATACCACTTCACAAACTACGTATTTGAATACAAACTAGTGACTCTTGCTAATACATCAGATACATATTCATGAATCCACTTATGATGGTGAATTAATGATGAATTATTTTTCTTCCCCAATTAATGCTAGGTAGCTATTAAAAAAAAAAAAGTACTAGTAAACACATCAAAGCCAGGTAGCCTATCCCACTTCTTTATTACTAACAAATTCTAGTTTTATTTAGAGCAAACTAAATACTTCCTGTCTCAGTCTCTCTTGCTGCTAGGAGGGACAATGAGCTATAGTTTTTGCCAATGAGATATAGGTAGAAGTCTGCTATGGGGGCTTCTGGCAAACATTTGTTTCCTGATAGAAAGAACAGATATGGCTAGCATCGTCCTTCTCCTTCTTCCAACCTTAAACATCAAGGTACTGTATTATCTGAACCTGCAGTAGCCATAATGCAACCATGAGGTGACAAGCATGAGAGAAAAGCCTAGAGAATGAGAGATATAAGCCCTTACATTAATAAGCTGGTATTAATTCGGGAGTAGTCACCTACTTCTAGTAAACTTTTACTAAGTGAGAAAAATCAATCTTTATTTGTTTAAGCCACGATAGATGTGTTTTCCATTGCTTGCAGCTAACTATAACCCTAACTGACTACACCAATCAAACAATTTTGAGGCTATGTAATTTGATAGTAGTTATTCACTCGGGTAAGGAATAAAGTTGGCTAGCTCAGTTGCAAATTCATAGCTGACTTAATCAATTTTCAGAGCTGGTTAATTTTCAGAATTTAAAAAAACTATGGTTAAGAAGTTGTATATTATGAAAATGTAATAAAAGAAATACTTAATAATCCAAGAATAAAACTATTATAGCAATAAAATTCCTCAAGGGCAGAGATCAGATTTTGTTCATCTAGAATAAGCCCCTTCACAGCTCAACACACTCGGTGCCCCAGATAAAAAAATGCACTCAATTAATACCGAACTGAATGGAATTGAACCCCCTTGCACACAACACGCTTTTAACCTTTAAGGCAGATAACCAACTTCACTTAATTAATAAGAGTATTATGAGTATTTCAGGGGAAACCTGATTAATATATGTCCTAAAATAAGTATTAGTAAGAGATAAGGAAGAAAGTATCATCCATTTTAAGTACAGACTTGGCAACATTTAAAGTTAATAAAAGGTCTGCAAACATACACCCTTATAAACTACTTCAAAGAATAATTTTCCTACCTCCATGACAATGATAAAAGCCAGTTTAGATGCAATCACATGCCAATAGTAGATGTTGTGTTTATACTCTTGTGGGTGTCCAGGAGGATATCGAAAATCACGATATCTGGAAACAAAGCAGAAGCATATCATGAGATAATTTTTTATGATCAAATACTGTAAACAAGGGCCCATTTTAAAAACATGTCATATTTAATGTAATGTTCTTTTAAATTGGACATCACATAGATTTTCTCTGAGAGTTCAATTTGGCAACAAAACCCTGAAATAATTACTTCAGTAATACCTCATTTAACATGTAATAAGATGATGGTAATAATGGATTCTATCTTTGCAAAAAAGAATCCATCTTTATAAAAGAATGAAAGCATTTTAAATTTCTTTTTGGCAGAACTTTATCTTTGCTTTCTTAAAAGAATATAACTACAACAATATAGCCTATTCTCTGGGCTATGTTTATAAAAAAGATTATTTATTTATATAAACCATTGTCAGGGTTAGGGTTCACTCAACTGTATGGGACTATCTGCCCTATACTAAATCACTCTAGGGTACTGCCTGCTTTTTGTAATCTTTTGCCTAATTCCTTGTTGTCAGATGTCATGTGTTACTGTTGTCAGCGTATCTCCCTCAGGTGGCATATCTCTAATTTTCTGCCTGTAATCTAGTAGACCTGGTAGGGTACAATGACTCATTAGAACCATATAAAGTTTAAAAGTAACCAGACTAAATGTGGAAGTCTAAGAGGCTGTACTATGTGTAACTTTGAAACATTTATTTGGGGCTTATTTCTGGTTTCTTGGTTGCATTGTCTATTGTTGAGAATTCTGAATCAGTGATGGCTTTGAAGAGTTGAGGAGTTGGACTAAATGAATTTTAAAGCCTACTTTAGCTTTAAAACTCTACGATTGAAAAAAAAATACTGTGATCTATAGTCAGCAAACCTTATCAACTGGTCCACAGCTGATTTTACTGGTCACATTGTCTGCAGCTGATTTTATACTGTGGAGAATACTCTTACGTTACATCTCTCCCCCACCACCACCTCCCCCCAAAAAAACCAAAAACCAAACCGGCTGCCGTTGAGTGGATTCCAGCTTAGAGCGACCCTATTACATCTGTTAAAATACTGTTAGGCTGCTGTTAATTTACATCTCTTGTCTTTGCATTTCTTTGTTAAGTGAGGGTGCTAGTTAGCAGTACAATATCTTCAGGTTGTGCTTGAATAACTCATTAGTTATAACAATTGAATCATCTTGCTTTCTGGAACTCATGGAGATTTTCCATTTGTAAGATACAATACAAGATTTTTCTGCTAGATCAGTCTCCCTGTAACCATCTGTACCTTTCATCTTTAAATCTTGCTTTATGGTTTGATTTGAAAGTTCTGGCACAGTGGTTACAGTGCTCAGATGCTAACCAAAAGGCTGGCAGTTTGAACCAACCTGCCGCTCTGCAGGAAAAAGATGTGGCAGTCTGCTTCCATACAGATTACAGTCTTGGAAACCCTGTGAGGCAGTTCTACATGGAAGAAAGATGTGGCAGTCTGCTTCTGCAAAGATTTACAGCCTTGGAAACCCCATTGGGCAATTCTACTCTGTCCTTACAGGGTGGCTGAGTTGGAATCAACTCGACAGCAATGGGTAATGGGTAACCCCAGTCTGTATTAACTTTTATCCCTTTTTCAGTTTGATCGAAAAGAAGGCTATGAGGAAAAATGTCTCTAGCAATTTGATTTAAATAATACCAAATAGAATTTACATTACAATAAAAGACCTTCCTAAAGATGAAGTGCATTTTTAAACACAACAAAATGAAACTTGCCTGCATGTGGTATGGTTGCCAAGTCCAGAGTATGGATTTTCCCGTCTTTCGCTTTTGAAGTCCATGATATTGAAGATGGAGAGAGTATTGTTGATGTACCCATCCATGGTGTAGTGGGTATGCTCCCCATAGGGAGGGACGGAGAAGGACCAGTAATACACCAGGCGGGGGATCATGTCTGACGTGAAAGCAATGATCATGGCCTGCGTTGGGTAGGTGGAGAACAATAAAGGGGGCATTAATTTAGAGCCCATGTAGTTATGGTTAACAGACATGTCAGAATTACTGTTTTCATCAAGTTGATATTTTTTAATCACAGATTCAGAAACTTTCTTTCCTAACTGTGAAATGTATACAGACAGTGAATGCCCTAAAATCTTTGAATAGCTGCTTTAAAGTAGAATAGTTACTTTCCTTTTGATCTTCAATTTTAAGGGAACATCCAGAAGTCCACCTGCAGTTCAAATGCAAAGGCCTGATAGTTGCCTGTGCTGTTTCTTAAGTACAATAAACACCCATTTATCCAGAAAGAATTAGGTTATTGTGGATAACTCAAGAGTTGGTGCATACATTCTATGTAAGTTATTATTTTAAAAAATTAAAATATACTGAAATTCAATCAACCTTAGTACTTTACTTGATATAATTTTAATCTTTCTTTGATAGTTTAGAATTAGAAGCCTTTTTCTACTTGTAATACTAAGGTCATTATGAAAATAATTTTGCTTGATATAATTCCATTGTTGAATATATAATTGACACAAAACTGATTTTTTGTCGCTTGCCTCTCATGAAAATAAAATGTAAACTGTATGAAACATATTTTCCTTGGCTTAAATTAAGTAAATAACTACCTTCAAATTCATACATTTTTCTTGACTTTTTATTTTAAACCAGTGGCCTGATTTATTTTAAACTCTGCATATAATTATGTTTGTTGCTTCAATGGAGAACAATAATTTGTTATTAATTTGAGTAAAATGTGGGTAGCTACAACTGTAATGGAGTTGTTCTACTCATATAGTCAGGCAATGATGTCTGTTTTCTTATAACTAGTATCTAAGCTTCTAAACTTCCAGGAGATTACATGAATAAATTTATGAAAGTGAAAAATTATCAAATAACATAGAAAGTTTGATCTGTTTCCAGATATAAGGAATAAATATGGGTTAATCTCAAACCTGGGTCTGGGTCAGGCAGACAGCTATTAGGATGTAAAGCTACTGGGAATTATACAAATTTTCTCTAAAATTCTTTAATTTGGGCTTTAACCTCTCCACTATGTAAAACTGGTTTGAAGGAAGAAAAAAGTAGAGACTATTCTTTAAATCAACTTCTATGTGACTAAACAAAGCTAAATGATTCAGTCATTAATTGAAGCAGAAGAACAAACATGGTTTTGGATCCACATGATTTTTAACAGTATTTATCTGAACATACGGTTTAGACACAGTGAGACCACAAACCAACAAACAAGATTTCAGACAAAGCAAGAAAAACAACTAAGGGGCTTCTCTATTACAAAATTTCCCCTATTAGGCCCAGCTTTGCCATTTGCTCTGAAATGAAAAATCAGTGTGTAGGGGTATGTATGTGTGTCTGTCTGTGGTGGTGGTGGTGGGATGAGGCAAGACTATTTTCCTTTTTCCAAATTTAAATACATTAAGTTTTCTTGTTACCATTTAACTCACTGTATCTTTTTAGAGAATCACCTGCAGATGTGCTTCAGGAAGCTACAAAAACTCCCAACAAAGAAGATAAGTCTATTGTCTTCTGACAAGATACTTTTTCCTCCTGAATTCAGCTGCTTTGAGAGACATGCTGCAGGAGTACAAATAAATGAAGTGTGCTTCATTTCCCATGCTGTTCTGAACACAATTTTCCATTTATATCAAAATAAATTAAAATTGGTCTTCAATAGCAGATGCTCTAGCAGGATACAACAATGTCAACTCACCTTATTTATTGAACCAGCAACTTGAAAAATGAACAATTTTATACTAAACTCCTGCTCAGTGCCCACTCTCATCCCAGATGGCTATTCTCTTCTTTTTACAGTGAAAAGTTTCTTCTTATGGAAAGTTAGCCTTTTTGCTAAACATTAGATTGTTGAGACACACATTAGACATGTGAGGGGTTGAGGTTATGTACGTGAGGGCATAATAGATACATATTTCTTACATACCTGTATACATGTATACGTATGACCTATATCTTGGAAGCTGTAAAAAATCCTAATATGGAAAAGAGGATTGTTTATAGTGTAATTGATGTCACAACCCTAATAAGTGGTTTTCTTAGGGTATTAAAACATGATGCCTAAGTTATAAGAAAAAACAACTATTGGATAAGAACCAGTAGCACCAATTAGCAGGCACGTGTGTGCCTGTGAGTGTGTATGTACACTTACATACAGATAGAGTATCCTTGGAAGCACATCCAACACTCCATCTGTGCTAATGGAATGGAGCCAGGGCATGGATACTGGGAAAAGGTGCCTAATACAATTAAACTGGAATGCTTGAGGAATGGGGACTTTAAGTCAATTGGATTTTCTGGTTAGCTGAAGGTCAAACAGAAACCCTTTTAGTTTCAAACCTTGTTGCTGAAAATTTTCCTAAAGCATAAAAGTCCACATTCCTGCCTTGCTTAGTGTAGTAGAGCAGATTGAACATGACAGATTCATTCTTTTATGACTTTGGAACTTGAAAGGCCTCACTGTCGTATTTCTGAACATCAGTCTTCATTTCGCAGCAGAGTGGATGTTGAAGGTGCAGGCTATTTGTGTGAATGGAAACTGACATAGCCTCGCAGTTGGTTTTTGTGTGTGATTTGTAACTTTCTCCAAAAAGCAGAGATAGCATGCAATTCAAATAAACTGAAGGTTCTTGGGGGTGGGGGTGACAGATGGGTTTCAGATAACTTGTTTTACTGTATAAGACTGCGACCATGGTCCAGACAGTGCCAAGTTTTGAAATTCTTGTGGCTCTAGTTAAGGTACCCACCAGAGCCCACAGAGTCACTATTAATGATGACGAGTAGCAAAGATGATAAAATAACAGTAGCTAACATTCAGTTAGGACCAGGCTTTGTACATTCCATATATTAACTCATCAGAGTCCCCCAACCACCCTTTGTGGTATGTACTAGTCTTATAATGTGTGATAGGGAATCATTCATTTCACAAATGATAAAATGAAGCTCTGAAATGTTGAGATCTGGCCCTGAATCATACAGCTCGGAAGCTGAGGTAATGGGAACTGGAATTTGGGGTCTCTCTGACTCTAGACCTGCAGTGTTTAGCAACTTCCCTCATGGAGAAGAGTGACCTATAGGCACTGCCCAGCTCTGTTCTGCTTCTGCAGGTGCTCATGGGAAAAGGCTGACCACTTGTAAAGTGTGGCTTGATTAAGAAGTTAAAACTGGAAAATAATTTTGTTGGGGAAGTTGACCTGGGAAGAAATAAGGAGGAAATGGCCCTGTTTTTAAGGATACTTCTAGGGAAGAAGACCCCCTAATGGCTGGTGTAGGAATTGCTCCCCACCTTCCACCTCTTTGTCAGCCTGGACAAAAAGAATAAAACTGTTTTGACTGGCAGATAATCAATTAATGCAGGCTGTAAACAACTAAGTTTTATCCCCTCAGAGCTGGGATACAAGCAGGGCATGAGGCTGCTCTGCCAATGACCCGAGTGTGGCCAGCAAAAACCAAAGGGTGGGTAGGGAGGAGTAAAGGGACCTGCTAAACCCTCCTCCTTCAAGAACCTCTGCCCTGGGGACAAGGAAGATAACACATGATTGAGAATGTATACTTCATCAGCAAATACTTAATATTTTAAGTCCATCCTTTGAGATACATAGTAAAATTTGGTAGAATTATAGCTCTTATTTTCAGGTTCTAAAACTCTTAATGAATGGCTATCTACCTACTTTATAAAAACACTATTGGATAATTCCTTTTATAGTCATGTGAGAATTAAAAGAGTTAGTACTTAATTATTATTACCACTATGATCATGTTTCTATTGAATAAAAACTATACCATATGGGCAACAATAGTACAACAGTCACTCTTCTTAGCAACTACCTCTGTAGGAGGTCTTGACTTTGCAAAACAATAATTACAATCAAACAATTAAAAATATAGTTTAAAAAAGAATAACCATTACAGTTATAACAACTATGCTGTTTATACAGATGATAGTTATGGCATCTTTTTCCCATTAAAAAAGAGACCAAATATTTGATTCCTTAGGTAGCACTCTAATGCATTTTCAGACTTTTCAAGGTCTTTACCCTGTGAAGCCTATGTCTACTCACATTGGTCACCACAGCCAGAATTGCTATCCCTTGCATGATGGGCTGCCATGCGCCGATGTCCTGGGCTTTTTGTGGCACCATGCGTCTATACTGGGTAGTCATTTTCCACGCGTCCACTCTTATTTCCAATATATTGTTCACCAGAGCCAACAGAGGTGCCAGTGGAAAAGAGGCCACAAATAAGGTGACGAACCCAAACTGAATAACTGTCAATGGAATGGACACACATCATGGAGTGGTGGATGGATGGAAGACAACATATTTTTTCTTTACTTTCGTAAAGAAAGAGAAAGGCAAACAAAGGACTAAATCTCAAAGAGAAAACATATCAGTGGTGAATAACAATGTTGAACAGTGAAAGAATTCAAACAAAACACAAATTATGAAATCTCTGGAAAGAAGACTAATTACGGCCTGTTTCTTTCACATGTATACACTTAATAGGAACAATATATTTTAAAAAATCTCTAATCAATCTGATTTATTTGCTGGTAACTAACTTGAGAATCTCTCACTAAGCACATTACTTATTCTCATTGTTGAAATAATGGAATGTTAGAAGATGATTTGTGACTCAGAATAGAAAAATAAAATGAATATTGTGGAAATACCTAACAAGTTCAAAAGAAATGAGAAGTGTACCTTTGGGAAGTCTATTCTTACAGAATGCTTGAGGAAATATGCTGAAAATAGGCAAATGAGCAAGCTCCTCTGAGCCGGTGAATGCAAACATAGCGGATTCAGAGAATTTATATTATTACAAATCATAGAAATACATGTGCTAAAAGTATCTTAATAAGTCATAATATAATCCTCCTTTAGGGCTTTGTCTTAAAGTTGTTATAGTCCACAGTCACAGATGTAAAACAAAAACCTTTTGTTCTAGACCCTTCCCTCCTAACTAGCAGACCTTCAGAGGGAACTAGTACAGATATGAAGTCCCTGGGTAGTGTAAATGGTTAACATGCTCAGCTGCTAACCAAAAGGTTGGAGTTTTGAGTCCACCCAGAGAAGCCTCAAAAGAAAGGCCTAGTGATCTACTTCCGAAAAATGAGCCACTGAAACCTCATAGAGCACAGTTCTACTCTGACACACATGGGGTTGCCATGAGTCACAAAAGACTCAATGGTAACTGATAGTACAGGTATGCAAATAAGGCTGTGGACGAGAGGAAAACACACAACTCCTTTAGGGCTACTGCTCAGACAAAGGTCAAGAACCACTCTGGCTGGGACAGTGGAAGGTATGGTTAACTAGGAGGAGTTGGCAGCATTTGCTTCTGGTCTGAGAGGCCAATGGCATATTGCAGAAGAGCAGACAGGGGTGAAAGGATCTGGCAGGCCCACGGGTAAGGCAGGGGCCATCCTATTCAGGGAGGTCAGAAAGGCAGGGAACAGAGGTGGTGATGTCACAGGGCCAGCAGCAGTAGCACTGAGCAGTGATGTCAACGCTATGTCTATGACTCATCCAACCCTAAATAAACTCATTGTCTACAGGGGCCAGGCAAATAATATAAATATGTGGAGTGGGTACACAGCTGACTGCAGTAAACAGACAAGTGTATCTCCTATTGAAAGGGTCAGCTCACTGTTGCCATGTCGGAAACAGGGCCCATTGCTGCCAGATCTCCTGATTGTTCAAGAGAAGCCTGAAATTAGGATTACATTAGCAATGACCCAGTTAAAAATCCCAAGGAGAAAAGATAACATTTATAATGACAACAAAAGCACGGACTATGTACGAATAAGTTAATGAGAAATATAGGACTGTTATGATAGATTATTTTAAAAATGAGGAAAAAAAGGATGAATGAATGAAGGGTAGGATATATCACACTCTTGACTGGGCAGACACAAATGTGGGGACATATCAAGTTTTTTTCTCCACAAAATAACTAGAAATCTAATGCAAATGGATTACACCTCAATATAAAGAAAATAAAAATCCTCACAACTGGACCAATAAGCAACATCATGATAAATGCAGAAAAGATTCAAGTTGTCAAGGATTTCATTTTATCTGGATCCACAATCAATACCCATGGAAGCAGCAGCCAAGAAATCAAAAGATGTATTGCACTGGGCAAATCTGCTGCAAAACACCTCTTTAAAGTGTTAAAAAGCAAAGATGTCACTTTGAGGACTAAGGTGCACCTGACCCAAGCCATGGTGTTTACAATTGCCTCATATGCATGGAAAAGCTGGACAATGAATAAGGAAGACCAAATAAGAACTGATGCATTTGAACTGAGGAGCTGGCAAAGAATATTGAATATACCATGGACTGCCAGAAGAACAAACAAATCTGTCTTGGAAGAAGTACAACCAGAATGCTCCTTAGAAGCAAGGATGGAG